ATCGCATTGCTATTTAAAAACATAGAATTATTTTGCTTCTTTTTCAAAAAAAAAAAATTTATATTATATATATATATGTATCTACAAATATATATATAAAATATAAAAATACTCATAAACGTATGTAATCAATATATACATATATATATATGTATATGTACAGTTGTGTGTATTTGTATATACCACAAATTATAGACTTGATGATATATCTCTTCTCCTAATGAGAGGCATTACAGTAGTAGGAATTAATTTCTGAACTAATTCCAATTTTCTTACACTTAAAATATAAGTATATGCGTTAAGATTTATTTGTCTTTCTAAATGTATTGTTTTCTAAAGCATTTTAACCATTTATTTGTGGCACATATTTTTAATTTTATTAATATATATATGACACTTTCACTGGCAACACACCTTGATACCTGTGCGAGCATACTAGATACAAATAGCGAACGACTCGACACTGCTGACTAAGTTTATAGATGTGACACTGAGTCTGTTGATGATTTCAATGCAAGGCAAATGATGAATGTATCGACTTATTTTTTGCTTAATGAGGCATTTATGTTTGATTAATTTGCTTTACTATATGAATCATTATATAATTTTATTCATTATTTAATGTGTATAATTTGAACTTAATTGAGAAGAAACGCCCAAAATAACACTGCCAAATTCTTGTATTTTTAATAAAAAAATTTGTAAAATTGAGGTTTTGATTTAGGGAAGTAATGCTGATTAATTAAATATTTCCTTACTTTATTATCGTTTTCAATTACTGATTGCATAGTCAATAAAGTTATTATTAGAACAACAACTATAATTTTAACTTCATTTTGAAAACATTATTAAATTGCCTACAATCTTAAACGAATAAGAGTATATTTCAGATTAAACACATTTAAGGTATCTTAATAAAACAGACTAGTTTCAGAATGCAATGGTGTTTAAAAAAAAAAAATTTTAAGACTTCATATAAATAATATTTACATAAAAAAGTTATGATCAATGGCAACATATATTTAGAAAATAAATTTTTTGTTTCCAATTATTATTGAATCTTTCTAAATGGAATTAATAAGTAATTTCAAATCTTAAAACCTAAGTAAAGATACATATTAAACAGAGTATATTAAACAGAGTAGGTATTAATCAAATGGAAGTGTATACTACGGCTTAAGCAGCTGTTTTCTATTGAGACGAAATGCAGGGTTAATGGTAAACAGTTGTCTGTCGTTGATGTTTTAATGCGTAACTAGTTTCAAACAATACTTTGCAATACATCA